TATTTTACTAGTGCACACACACACACACACAGAAATTATACCAAGTCTGAAACTACTATCCTTAGGAAGACATGGTTGCAAGGTTGGCCCTTGGCTGACATATAGGAACTTGGGTTTTGTGAGAGTTCTCACCATTTCCTGATAAGAATGGCTCACTGTGCCTAAACTGTTATGTAAAAAATCTGATTTATGTTCAACACTTGCTTTTTTTCTAGGATGTGGAATTTTGGTTCACATCAGGCAGAAGCTGCCTTTGTGACCAGCTCTCTCAGTAAAAACCGTGGGCACCGAGTCTTTAAGAAGCTTCCCTGGGGACTTCCCTGGTGGCGCAGTGAATAAGACTCCACGCTCCCAAGGCAGGGGGCCCAGGTGCGATCCCTGGTCAGGGAGCTAGATCCCACATGCATGCCGCAACTAAGAGTTGCATGCCAAAACTAAGGAGCCAGCGTGCCACAACCAAGGAGCCTGCCAGCCACAACTAAGGAGCCTGCGAGCTGCAACTAAGACCGGGTGTAACCAAATAAATAAATATTAACAACAACAAAAAAAGAAGCTTCCCTGGTAGACAGCATTTCACATGTGTTGTCCCAATTAGTTGTTGGAGGAATTAAGTGGATATGTTCCACTGGGAGAAGATGCTTGGAAACTTGTACCTGGTTTCCCCTGGACTTTACCACATGCACCTTTGTTGCATTTTGCTTTGTATCCTTCACTGTAATAAATGATAGTCATGAATATAACTATATGCTGAGTCCTGTAAGTCTTCCTAACAATCACTGAACCTGGGGGTCTTAAGACCACTGACATGGTTGGTGTCAGACGTGGGATTCATTAAACATGGTGAAAGCACTGCTTGAGAAAAGGAAGGATTAAGTGGTAGTATGATGAACCTCTGCTACTTGTATGGCTATGAAATCAAACGTGGTATGAATCAGCAGCTGAGTTGCTATCTGCTGTGAGAAAGGTAAAAGTCACCTATGAAATTTGAAAATGATAGATCTAACCCCAAGAGAGTTGGCTCATTAAATCTTCTAGCTGCTTTGGCCATGCTGACCCAAGTGAGGAGAGAAAAAGCCCAGTATGGATGATAACTTTGGTTTTTATTCTTGCCTCCAAATAAGAGGAGAAAAGGCCCAAAAGTTCTCAAACATAAGCTTTCAGGTGGACCAAAAATGTTAAATGTTTGTGCTGGTCTCTCCTCCAAGCAGGAGGAATTAATAGTTACATTAGGTCGCAGGGCTGGAGAAAAGTTTTAGATAACCAAGGGAGAGGAAACTATTCCAGCTGTTTCTTCAGCCTAACTACTGCTGCTTCAGCAACCTCTCCATGCCTCCTACATTCCGGTCAGGATCTCCCAGCAACTGTAATGTTAATATTGTAAATGCTAAATTTCTTGCTAGGAGTTTGAATAAATCCGTAATAAGAAAAAAGAGGCAGGGGAAGTTTTAAAGATGGCTTTGTATTCTTTGGTTATTGCACCTGGATGTATAATAAATAAAGATATAAAATATTATATGCTTGTACTTTCATAAATGCTAGAGGGATCACATCAGTCAGGAAAAGTTGCAAATTAAAAAGTTAGTGACAGACTTCCCTGGTGGCGCAGTGGTTAAGAATCCACCTGCCAATGCAGGGGACACGGGTTTCAGCCCTGATTCGGGAAGATCCCACATGCTGCGGAGCAACTAAGCCCACGCGCCACAACTACTGAGCCTGCGCACTAGAGCCTGCAAGCCACAACTACTGAAGCCTGCACGCCTAGAGCCCGAGCTCCTCAAGAAGAGAAGCCACTACAAGGAGAAGCCCGCACACCACAATGAAGAGTAGCCCCCGCTCGCCTCAATGAAGACCCAACGCAGCCAAAAATAAAATGTAAATAAATAATTTTTTTTTAAAAAAGTTACTGAGACACAATTTCCTTGCTTTTTACTGCTGGTGAAAGGATTAGAATTTGAACTGTTTGAGTACTGGAAACAGAATAAATAAATCTCCATAATGGATACTATTATTTCTACTTATTGCCATCTCAGAGAAAAGGGAGACAACATGAAAACATAAGAAATTTCCAAATAGATATACACTTCTGGAGTTTTAAAAAGCAGTTTTTTTTGTTGTTGTTGTTGTTTTTTTTTCCTTGCGTTATGCGGGCCTCTCACTGTCGTGGCCTCTCCCATTTGCGGAGCACAGGCTCCGGACGCGCAGGCCCAGCGGCCATGGCTCACGGGCCCAGCTGCTCCGCGGCATGTGGGATCCTCCCGAAACGGGGCACGAACCCGCGTCTCCTGCGTCGGCAGGCGGACTCTCAAGCACTGCGCCACCAGGGAAGCCCCTAAAAAGCAGTTTTTAGTTGCTACTGAGCTCTTGTGAAATCAGATGTTGGACCCTGAAAGGCTGATGATTTTCCAGCATGATGTGCATATTACTGAGTGGATTAATCTGAACTCTAAGACTGACAAAACAAAAGGGGATTAGAAAAGTCTTGTCACTTCGACTTAGAACACGACTGGTCTGCAGGATCTTGGCTTTGGCACTGCTCGAGAAGAGTCACTGGCTTTTTTGGAATCCTGAATTCACAAATCCTAATTGCTTGGATCTAACTCTAAGCTGAAACCTGATATTGTCTGACACTGGGCTATTTAAACCTCAACACAAGCTGTGCTGAACTAAAGCAGGCATATGCTCAGTGAACAGGACATTGACTTGTGGACTGTTGAAGATTTAAGACACCCTCTGTGAAGCCATAAACTGAAAACGTCATGGATTCTGGCTGGAAGATCTAAATCACTTGCAGATGCCCACAGAAAAGGGCTCATTCTCTGACGGGGCCATCTGAAATCAAGCTGCTGATAGCCTCTGTATCAGATATACAGACCTAAAGTGTATTCCTAACTTGTGGTTACTGCTAAAAGCTGCAAGTTGGGAGAAAGCATACTCGCTCCTTACAGACTGGATTCATGATCCCCTCTCAGGGATGTTTCACTGCTATGGACTTGTGTCCAGCTTTCTGGATTAGTTGCAGTTTTCAACAATGAATTAATAACCTGATTTTATTTCCCTCACCTTTGCATCACCCTTCCTTGCACACACACCTTAGTAAGGCAACTTCATTATTAAACACAGCTATCTCCAGAAAGGAATTGATCTTTTCCAGGCTGCTCACTAGGTAAATGGTCAGGACAAAAGGGGTGGGGGAGTGATGTAAACTTATTATGAAAATTTTTGAAAATTTGGGATTTCATCCAGACCAATTCCTAAACATATGTCTTTCTAGTTAAGTTGTATAAAAATGTTTTTCTGTAAAAATGTTTTTGTTCCTCCTCCAGGTCTGGGTGGTTGGGAAAAATATGAAAAGCTTTCATTACTGAATGGGACACACTGATTTTATAAGGGAGAAAAAATAAAACTCAGCACCTGGTGAGGCACCAGGGAGAAGGACACGAATGATTTTTGTTTTTCATAAGTATTCTTGAAAGCTTTCCCTGCTCCTTGTGTTGGCTTTCCATGCTGTTGTGAGTGCTTTGAATTCAAACTGAATGCTGCACTTCAATCACACCTAGTAGTACTCTGAGGCGGCTGTGAGCAGCCCCAATTCCTACACCTTCCACAAAGAACACCTCTAAATGTCATGCACACTATGAAGCAAATGAAATGGTGTCGTGGATAAACAAACTGTTTGGAACTAATTGCCTTCAGGTAGTCTGTCTGAAAACAAGGCATGAACTGAATTAAATGAACTAGATTGAGAACTCTAAAGTGAAAGGCCTTCAGGTTGTCCGTCTGAAAACAAGGCCTGAACTGAATTAAATGAACTAGACTGAGAACTCTAAAGTGAAAGGCCCCATGGGAGGACACATTGAGGGCCCTGTTAACCCATACTATCTAATTTATGCCTTGCTTGGAGTACCCTAAAAAAGTGCAAACTCTGTTTCCAGGGGTACCATGTGGGTCCTCTGAAATTATACTTCTTTTTGTATGTACCCTATCATGACACTGCTTCAACCCTGGAAAATTTTCAGGTCGAATTCAACTTTATGGCCATAGTTGTGCTTTGCCTGAATTGATGCCTCAGGCCATGTAAAAGGTCCATACAGAAACTGAAGGAGAAAGCCACCTGCTTTTCTAAGATAAACCTCATGGCTGGCGGGATTTATTTTAACTAACTAAATTTAGGCCCTCTAAAAGGCATAACTGAGATCAATACTACAAGTTGGTCTTACCTTGCTGCACATGGGGGTGGGGATGGGGGCAGGGATGGTGTCCTACTGGTAATAATTTTGCTGTAAAGACATTCTGGCCAAAGGCTAAGAGTTAACATAACAGATCTGAGACTGTATTCCTTAGAAAAGCCTGTTTGGCTGGGATCTGAGAACTTGAATGTTTGACCGTTTCCTACACTGATAGAAAATTTTCCTGATGATGAGAATGGCTCACTGTGCCTAACCTGTTTGTACAAACAACACGGTTTACACTGAACACCGCTCTTTCTGAGAGTCTAGAATTTTGGTACATGCCAGGCAGAGGCTGCCTATATGAGCAGCCCCCAGTAAAAACCCTGGGTACTGAGTCTCCAAAGAGCTTCTTGGTGACAGCATATCACAAATGTTGTCAATCTTGTTGCTGGGGAAATTAAATGCGTCCTGTGTGACTCGACTGGGAGAGTACTCTTGGAAGTTTGTGCCTGTTCCCCAGACTTGACCCCATATACTCTTGGAAGTTTGTGCCTGTTCCCCAGACTTGACCCCATATACCTTTCGCTTTGCTAATTTTGCTTTGTATCCTTTAGCTGTAATAAATCATAGCTGTGAGTATGACTTTATGTTCAGTCCTACGAGTCCTCCGAGCAAACCACTGAACCTAGGGGTGGTCTTGGGGACCCTCAACACAATCAGTAATAATTTCAAACAGCTAAACAGTCCAATCTGGAGCCAATATTCCATTTGAATATAGCCACCAAATTTTCCTTTATGTTATCAAAAAGGTAGAATGAATGGATTACTTACGAAAACAGATCAAACCACTGCTGTTTTGTAACAGATTCCTGGCGTAAAAGCTTCAAAACAATTGGACGCATGAAGTCCCATTTGTCTTCAAACTGAAGAGAACCTTTATTCTTAAAAAAAAAAAAAAAAAAAAGAGTAATTTAAGTGCAGTTAAATCAGAAGTGTCTGTTATTTTTATCTCATAAGAGACAACTAAAGAAATTCAAAAGAACCAATTTTCCATAATGGAATCCCTATAACTTAATCTGGTATCAAAGAATCACAGGAAGACAACCATAAAAGAAAAAAGACAGTTATGTGAAAGTGTGTAGCAAAGAATTTGGTCTTATCCAAAGAGCCGGTCTGCCCTTTGCCCTTGGCTTCTAGTAGGTAATATCCTTGGGCCCTAAGAATGTTATATCTGATAAGAGAGTCTTTGTTAGCCTGGGGCCTTGGGTCACACTGGATAACCTAACCATGTGATTCAGGGAGGGGACTGGCAAACTCATATAGTCTTAGGGAGCAGGCCAATCCAGAAATAGCAACAGTATGACTTAGGGTAAGGGGTTTGGGTAAATCAACCTGGAGATTGAGATTATCCACGTGAGCAATGCCTACATGATGAAGCCTTAATAAAAATTCTGGACACCAAAGGTTGTGTGAGCTTCCCTGGCTGGCAGTACTGATATGCCCTGTCATTTAATGAGGGAAGGAGAGAAATGTGACCTGACAACACCAGAGAGGACAAGGGAAGCTCTGTGTTTGACCCTCCTGGACACTGTTTCTTCCTTTAGCTGATCTTAATCTGTATCCTTTCCCTTAATAAACCATAACCATGAGCAAAGCAGTTTTCAGTAAGATCTATGAATATTTCTAACAAATTATTGAACCTCAGCGTTTTGGGAACCTCCCAAATTTGCAGCTGATGTCAGAAGTGAGGGTGGTCTTGTGTGTAGAGACTGTGCCCTAAACTCCTCACAAAAAGTATATCAAAAATCCATATAAACTCTGAAAGTTGAGGAAGAAAAAAAACCAGAAAGATACTCATCTCATTTTATAATGCTAACAAAACCCTGATACCAAACTGGTGAGGACAAGAAATGGTAACTGTAGACCAATCTAATTAGAACATATAGATGCAAAAGTCTTAAAAATATTAGTAAATTAAACAATTAAATAATACCTCATAATCATGTATGTTTATTCCAGTGATGTGAAAGTGATTCGATATTAAGGGGAAAAAATCAATTCATTACTAAAAAGAGAAGGGGGGGGCATCCCACATGTGTTACTCATGAGTATTGTTCCTTTTCAAGTTAGGTATGGCCATGTGACTTGCTTTGATCAATAAATTTCAACAAAAATCATTAATTTTCTAATACAGCAGCACCAAACACCCCTATGAATCACATTATTGTTTTCACCATATAATTGTTGAGAATGTTGTTCACTCGTATGAGATAAGATCCATGTACTGACGTAATGTTTGAACTCCCTGAAATTATATTCCAGAAGCAGTTTCTAAACATATGGTCTAACAAGAACCTACGTCAGGATCACCTAGGATGGTGCTTACACATACCTTTATAAAACCTACCACAGACAGGCTGGATCAGAATCTCTTGAGATGAGTTCAGAATTTATATGTTTAGCAAATTCACAATAAAACTACATAAAAATGTTACGGGGTCTGTGACCCCAAAAAGGTTAAGAACCACTGACTAACATTAAACTCTTGTGAAAGCAAATGATACTTCTTACATCTACAAACACAGCTGATCCTAAAAGTTACTGTACTTTCTTGCCCCAGGTACCTACTTTTATCACAAAGTATTCTTATTATAGGGACCCATGGGAGATACTCAAAATTTAGTACTGGGATTAACTGTGCTTCTCCCCTGAAAAACTAGTTTGTTTTTATCTTATGAACTTAAGTGAATCATGTAGGTAACTTTGCTTTCCTTAGTGTTGGCTAATGAGAAATTCAGTCAGATTTGAGATCCTATGGTATATACTTCGTGTACTAATCATGGCTGGCTACACTTTTTCTGTTAATATCTTCCTATAACCATCATTTCTTCATTTACTCTTCCCTCTGAGAAAAGGGTGTGCAAATAAACAAATATGGAAGAACGACAGAAAGGACATGCAAATCTTTTCTTGACTATGACATGGAGAAACATAATACCCTCTTAATAAGAGAATATTTTATAATGTCAACTAGGTCTACTTCCATAAGCGATTCTGGCAACTTACAAAATTAAACTTAGTGTAAATCCTGAAATTAAAAATAAAAAACGGGGCTTCCCTGGTGGCACAGTGGTTAAGAATCTGCCTGCCAATGCAAAGGACACGGGTTCAAGCCCTGGTCCGGGAAGATTCCACATGCCGCGGAGCAATGAAGCCCGTGCGCCACAACTACTGAGCCTGCGTTCTAGAGTCTGAGCCACGACTACTGAAGCAAGCCCACATGCCTAGACCCCGTCCTCTGCAGCAAGAGAGGTCACCACAGTGAGAAGCCCGCATGCCACAACGAAGAGTAGCCCCCACTTGCTGCAACTAGAGAAAGCCCTCGCGCAGCAACGAAGACCCAGCACAAAAATAAATAAATAAATTTATATTTTTTTAAATTAATAAAAAATAGGGGCTTCCCTGGTGGCGCAGTGGTTGAGAGTCCGCCTGCCGATGCAGGGGACACAGGTTCGTGCCCCGGTCTGGGAAGATCCCACATGCCACGGAGCAGCTAGGCCCGTGAGCCATGGCCACTGAGCCTACGCGTCCAGAGCCTGTGCTCCGCAACAGGAGAAGCCACACAGTGAGAGGCCTGCGTACCGCAAAAGAAAATAAATAAATAAATAAATAAATAATCAAAATCAAAAAGGTACAGAAGACTAAACAGGTATGAGATAAATACTGGTTAGGCTCTGAAATCTATCAGCTATGGTAAAATGACAGGAAACACTGTCTCTTATTTGGTGAAACATATAAGATTAACTACAGAAACATTTTCCTCTAATAGTTAAAGGAGAAATTAAATAATTGAATTTTCCTATTAAGCTTTTATAATAGATTCCAGAAACGATGTTCAAGCAGTTCTTTGACCTATTCTCTGTTAAAATGAAAAGCATATAATTAAATCAAAACTAAGCAGCAGGGGCTTCCCTGGTGGTGCAGTGGTTGGGAATACGCCTGCCGATGCAGGGGACTCGGGTTCATGCCCCGGTCCGGGAGGATCCCGCATGCCACGGAGCGGCTTGGCCGCTGAGCCTGCGCGTCCGGAGCCTGTGCTCCGCAACGGGAGAGGCCACAACAGTGAGAGGCCCGCATACCGCAGAAAAAAAACCAAAAAACAAAAAACTAAGCAGCAGGACACCAAACCTACTATCTACAAAAGATATTAATAGGCGAAGACACCTTCAAATTATGAACCCTGATTTATGAATTTTTTTCCAATAGCTAACTAAAGGTTGCCTCATCTTTACTGATGTGCTACAAGTCTCTTCTGCTTAAGTCTTTCATTACCACTCAGAATAGCTAATAAGTCTAAGATTATCTCACCCACTGGCTCTCTTTCACCAATAGGATTTCAACATTTGCCATATCCTTGTCCCTCTATCCTTCACTTTTTACAGCACAACTAATTCCCTCAGAGGCACTCTTCTTCTCAAACACACAGATGGGCCATGGGGAAGCTGACAGGAGACTGACCATGGGGGATAACTGGGAGAAGAATATTCCAGACAGAGGAAACAGCCATTGCAAAGACCCTACGGTATAAGCATGCCTGATGTATGCAAGGTAGAGCAAAATAAGGACAGAGGAGAGAGTGGATGAGGTCAGGGAAGCAACATAGGGCTGGATCTTGTAGGGCCTTGAAGGCCATTGCAAAAAGTTTGGCTTCTACTATATGTGAGATAGGGAACCATTAAAAGATTCTGAGCAAGAAGTGACATGATCTGACTTATATTTTTAAATCTTCCTGATTGCTATGCTGAGAATACATTAAAGGGGCAAGTGTTACACATGAGTGTAGGAGGCAAGGTTAGAAATAATAGTAACATGGACCAGGGTGGTAGCAGTGCAGGTAGTGAGTAGTAATTAGATTTTGTATGTTTTAAAGGTAGTGCTAACAAGATTTCCTGACAGCAGGCATCTGGGATGAGAGAAAGGAATAAAGCCTGACTCTAAGGTTTTTGGCTAGTAAAGTTAATTTGTATATTGGAACAGCAAAACGGAGGCCACCCCATTGGCTCAGCCCACATCAAAAATCTAAACTTAAATCAGCCTGCACATATGGGAAACACCTCACTGTCAAGGAAACATAACACCAATCACAATCCTCTCAGTTTTAGCTAGCTAACCTTACCTAAAAAATAGGACCTGCTTACCTTATAAGGAAATCCCTGACCTCCTAGCCAATCATGCCTTATTTCTGTATTGTCTCTTCTAACATTCTATAAAACTCGCTCGGACTTCCCTGGTGGCGCAGTGGTTAAGAATCTGTCTGCCAATGAAGGGGACACGGGTTTGAGCCCTGGTCCGGGAAGATCCCACATGCCATGGAGCAATTAAGCCCGTGTGCCACAACTACTGAGCCTGCGTGCCTAGAGCCCACAAGCCACAGCTACTGAATCCCACGTGCCTAGAGCCCGTGCTCCGCAATAAAAGAAGCCACCACAATGAGAAGCCCATGCACCGCAATGAAGAGTAGCCCCCTGGACTTCCCTGGTGGTGCAGTGGTTGGGAGTCCGCCTGCCGATGCAGGGGACACAGGTTCGTGCCCCGGTCCAGGAGTTTCCCAAGTGCCGCAGAGGGGCTGGGCCCATGGGCCATGGCCACTGGGCCTGCGCATCTGGAGCCTGTGCCCCGCAACGGGAGTGGCCGCGGCAGTGAGAGGCCCATGTACCAAAAAAAAAAAAAAAAGAGTAGCCCCCGCTCGCCGCAACTAGAAAAAGGCCGGCATGCAGCAACAAAGACCCAATGCAGCCAGAAGTAAATAAATAAAAAAATTTATTTAAAAAAAACCTCACTCTTCCCCAAAATCCTTCAGGAAGAGTGTTCCACTGCTTGTTAGGCACTGTACTATTCCAATCCATGGATTATTTTCCCTTGAATAAAGGGAAACTCGTTA